GCATGGTGATGCAGTGGTTAAGATTGCTGCCTCTCAGTGCTTGGGCCCTGGGTTCAACTCCAAACCTGGGATGCTAACTGGAGTCTGAATGTTCACCTCATGTTCACATGGGTTTTCACCGGGTGATCCTACATACTGGTAGGTTAATTGGCTGCAGGGGAAAATGGCCAAAATCTTTTTTTAAAAATCTACTCAGAATTTTCAATGACCAAGTTGTCCTCCAAAACACAGCTGCTGGGCAAGAGAGACATTGGTCAGAGAAATAGTAAAGGGGCCAAAAGCTACCCTCAAAGACTTAAAATGTCTCATAATTGAGTAGGAAGAACTGTGAGGCAGTCAGCAATAGTCCAGGTACTCTCCAAATCTGAGCCGTAGAGTGGCAAGGAAAGTCCCGTCTTGAATATGCAAAAAGCATGTAGGAACAATGATGTGGAAAAATGTTTTGTGATCTGATGAGACCAAAATTGAGTTATGCGACCTTTATGCCGACTGTTATGTCTGGAGAAACACCTTTTACAAAACACCATCCGCACTCTGAAGCATAGCAGTGGCAGCATAATGTTGTGGGGTTGCTTTTCATCGGTAAGGAATGATAGATAGATACTTTATTGATCCCGTGAGGGAAATTGCAGAAAGATTGCAGACAACTCTGGTTGGCTTGTCTAAACAGAGGGCAGAATGCATATCCTGGACAGGCAGATCCTGGACAAAATGTGGAACAGTCTGCAAAAGATCTGAAACTGGGATGGAGATTTATATGTCAACAGCACAATGACCCCATACACAAAGACAAGGTGAACCATGAATGCCTTAAAAAGAAGAAGGTGCAAGTCCTTGAGTGTCAAAGTCCAGACTTAAATCCCATACAAAATCAGTGTCAGGAACTGAAGACTGCTTTATACCACTGCTCCCCTTGTAACCTGCAACAGCTAGAGCACTTTTGCAATGAAGAGTCGGTGAAAATAAAACCTGCAAGAAGTGAAAAGCTAGTTGCAACATTCTGCCGAAGACTTGAGACTGTAATTGCAGCAAAAGTGGGAGCAACTAAATATTAAACGCTTCAGATCTCAGGGGGGTGAATACTTGTCCAAGCTGTATTTTTCAGCTTTCCATGTTTCATAAACTTTTCTTCCACATAAAAAATGATTATGCCCCCTCAAAATGTTAAGGGTGGTTTTCTTAATCATACAAAATAATCCTGCGCAAAAGTGCGGCAATTAGAGGTTGTAACACAGCAGAATGTGGTAGAGATCCAAGGGGGGCCAATACTTTCTACACCAACTCTAATGGGTAAATCACTGACACAAACTACTAATCAGTAATAAATTCAGTAAGAAATATTAAATAATTCCTTGCTTTTATGTAGCAATTCCAAAGGACCCCAAGGTGTTGTACATACAGGAAGGGGGAGCCCAGTTCATCCACCATGAAGTACCCACCCACCTGGTGACATGCTGCTGCCCCTTGGCAACACTAAACTAATCAGCATGGCCAAACAGAAAGACATGAACACAATTGTGTGAATTTAGCTTATTCTTTCCTAGAAACCAATGAAAGTACTTACTGATTAATTCTGCTAAATTTGAATAACAAAGTGTCCTTTCAAATCAGAATATCAAATTATTTGTCGTACCAGTGCATACTATATATGCATGTTGAGGCAGGAATGGAAATTTCAGAAAGTCAGTATTAATCTGTTACAGTTTTGGAATCCAGTGCTGCTACCTGAGCCAGATCTCACTGGCCTCTATTTTCAAAGCATTTTGAAATTAATAATTTCAGTATCACTGATGTTTTATCCATAAAGGAATGTGATGCAAAATAACTAAAAGCAACCATTATCAGTTTATTTGGGCCATTTTATAGTTGCAGTACTTATAATGTAAAATTGTTTTATGATATGTGTGTACGAATATTCTAGCATCACTGCAAGTTAAAACATTTTATAGAACACAAGAATACATTACATATTGGAAAGTCCAAGAGAGATAGAAAGGAATATTGCAGTGGAGGCTAAACCAATAAAAAGTACTTTCAGTACTGCAACAACGAAAGAACTATTCAAGATGAAAAAAATGTCTACTAGAGAATTATGGTAAACTTCTAGATGATTAAAGGGAAATGGCAGATGGAATAAATAAACATTTTTCTAAGGTATTCACTAAGGAAGTCAACAACATACCTCAGGATGGTGTAAGAAGTTCTTTATTGAACACGATTAGAATTGAAGAGGCAGAGGAGTTTCAGGTACTAGAGGGATTTGAGATAAGTCCTCAGGGTCTAGTGGTATCTTACCAAGGTAACAAGAGATCTTGTTCAGAAACCATTGGGGCAACTCATACAACAGTTCCTCAAGACTGTGATAGTATACTCAATGGACTGGGGAATTGCTGACATAGTGCCTATACATAAGAAGGGTGACAAAACTAACACAGGTAATTATAGACCAATAAATCTGACTTTGTTAGAACAAAATGAAATGAAAACCAACTATATATAGGAACTTACATCCTTGGGAATGCTCCACGTGGATTTATAAAAGGCGCATCTATACTAACCAACTTGTTAAGAGTTTTCTGAACAAGCAACAACAATAATAGACACACATAAAGCATAAAAGATTAATTCTCAGTTAACAAGTGGTTGGTAATCAGGGAAGTGAATATAATTAGATTGATGACAGGTTAATTAGGGAGATGTAATAAGTGGAGTACCACAGGGATCTGTACTAGGACCACTGTGCTTCTTAATTTATATTAATGATCTAGACTCTGCTAAATGAAGTTAACTAATCAAGTTTGCACAATTCCAAATTAGAAAGTTTAGCAAACATTATACAAGCACTAAATGAAATTCAAAAAGATTTAGATAAAATTAAAGACCTGAAAAAAATCTGTCATTTAATAGCATTTAATACATACAAATGCAAAGGTTTGCATGAAGGTAGTAAAAACAAAACTATATACACCAAATGGAAAGCACTGAGATAGAAGTGTCTATGAAAAAGTATAGCGTTGACAAGTTGTTTACATCTTCCTGACAATGTGGGGATTCAATTAGAATTACTATATAGCACGGAATTTAGTCTTTATTTAAGTTAAAGTATGTTATTTTTAAATTTTATAATTAATTAGTTAGACCTTTGTTAAAATAGTGTACAACCTTGGTCATTACAGAACAAAAAAATATACTGCTGGAATCAGTACAGAGAAGAATCATCAGATGCATTTTGGGACTTAAGTGAATAGCCTTACACTGACAGGTTGAAAGAACTGCTCCTTTTCAGTTTTGAGCAGAGAAGACTACAAGTTAGGATTTTGAATTATAGTGCCAGGTCCCTCAAAGGCACTGACATATTCTGCACAGCAGATTTCTTCAGAATGAACAATGAAACACAAACCAAGGGGCACAAGTGGCATCTACACGGAATTGCATTTTTGAGTGGAGGTCCATCATCATTAGAGGCTGGAGCAATCTTGCCATGTGTGTGCAGATATCACATTTTGGTTCTTCACACAACTTTTCTGCAATTATCAGAACTTCAAAACAGCAGGTATGGCACATGAAAAATGAAACTCCACCTTAAATAAGCCATTTTACCTTCCACAACTGCAAATGCTAAAAACACACAATAGCACATTCATCCATCATTTAGTCAAATACAGAATTGCAGGGAGTCTGAGCCCAACCTAGTGGGCTGCACCTTAGACAGAACACCAGTTCAACAAAGGGCAGCAATACAGACCTAAGATATGCAATGAGTAAAATGTAATACTTGTGTTACTGAGGTAATCATAAAGTAAGGTGCAACCAACAAGTCAACTTCTTACTAAACAATGTTAGGAAAAAGTGCTTTATAAACATTGCTTAGAAAAAAACAGTTTATGAAGAATCGTGCATCTGGGGGCATCAGGGGCAGTGTAGGATTTTAAATGTACTTTATACTGTATTTAATAGTCCTTCTGTGTAGCAAACTCACCTGACCTGCCTTGTCATTTTATTGCCCTACAATCTCTCTCCTGTCAAATACACACAGAGCGAAGCAGACCTGTTTGCACTGGCTATGATGCACTCATGGCTAACAGGCCATTCAGCAGAGAGTGTGACATAGCGCTCTTTAGTTCTTTTATTTACTGCACCTTGGACCAAAAAGATTCAATAGAAAACTATTGCTAATTATATTAAATGGCCATGCTGGTGCTTCTGTTCTTGAATAGCACCAATGATATAAAATAAAAAATGTACTAAGATTATTTCAAGAAAATGCAAGTTCTTTGCAAATTCATTTAACTAGTGAGGGAAATATGTCTGTACTACCATATTCCTCTTAATTCACTGTAATCTGACAGCAACCTGATTTTACTGCTGCATTAATGTTTCTCACGACTCTCATGCTGTAAAATACCACCTATCATTTCATGATAATGCTATTGTCAGACCGTCATGTTTTATGAATGCTCAGCAACCTGTGTAAACAGCTGCAGATGTGCAGGTGTAGTTATTCAGAGCTGTAAAAGGCTGTCTGTTATTCTACCATAGTAATGAGGCTCTAAGTGGAAAATAACCCCATGGGTGCTTCAGTTTGTCAGAGTCTCTTTAGCTCCACTAACATGACTATATAACCCCTGCTAAGCTCCAGCATGGCTGAGCTAAAATGATAAATATTGCATGTATGGTACTTATTGGTAAAAGCTGTTTAGAGAATTCAGCAAACAAAACATTTAACAGGAGGATTTGTTTTTGTTCCCATCAGCACTTCAGAATTCATAGGCACATATTTCTAAGAGATTTCCTTCAGCTGCAATAAAGAAATAAGGGTGCTACACTGTACTTCACCCGGCCAGCATTTGCAATGGTGTATTAAAAAAAATGTAAGCAAGTGACAATAGGAAGGGATTTTGTAATGCCACAGACAAATCTGAAAAACATGTCTGAGATACAAAATTTGGATCAATGCTCTGTCGACTTGTTAGATATTTGCTCTGGCAGATGGGACTTACTGTGTAGGTTGATCCTAAGCGGGAAACAGTAACGGCATGAACACCCTTTTCCAGCTCCACTGACAGCTCCCACCTCTTCTGCTCCTGCTGTGAAGTAGAGACTCTGGAAAAAAAAATGCAGACATTATACACTGTATGTTGCACACTTGCACCCAATTTAGACTGCAGCAGGGAACACGCACACACTAGAATACAGCTTAGTAGACAGGCACCGGGCATGTGAAGTTTAATTCCCCTTCAGTACGTAAACGAACCTACATTAGGTATCATTCATCATTCAAATGTTAAGGGTGTAGGCATGTGTGTGGGCTGTTGCCATAGACACCAAAAAGGAAAATGGCACCCATGAGTGCTCCCTTTTACACTGTGGTATGATCAAACAACAAAAGGTACAAACAAATGACAGGCCTTTTGCTACAGGAACCAAAAAAAATAAATAAACAGGTGACAAACATCTGTTACCTACACCTCAGCCTCACTAGGAAAAGAACAAACATGTGCTTCTCTAAAATTGAGAATATGTACTGTGCTTACTGGTTTATGAAACCAAATATGACATACTGCTATCCCCCCTCAATTTTGGTGCTCCCACATACTCAAAAAAGCAACTTGAGAGGTGTGAATATTGTGTATTCTTAAATGAACTTTGGGAGATAATGTGAACTCTCATGTTCCAGCTCAATCAATGGTCTTGTGATACCGACCCAATGAAGTCATATTTAGAACGACAGCCTCAGGGGCTTCCAGAATGGCTCAGTTGGTAAAGGCACTTACTAGAACACAGGATGAGGTCTGCGGTCACGGATTCGAGTTTGGGTCATGTAATGAGCCGTCTGTGACTGGGATTACCCAATAGGCAGGGTACAATTGACCGAGCCCCACTGAGGGTAGGGTGCGATTAGTTGGCCAGGAAACTCTCATCTCTCAGTGACAATGACCTCAGTGGCCAGCTGGGTGCTTGCAGGCATTCAGTGAAGAAGATGCGTCTCCTTCAGCTGGCTCTGAACCTCCTGTAGGGGGCAGTGCTGTCTGTGTTGAGTTAAATGATATAGGCTGAAGCAAGGTGTAGCAGTGAGCTGAGACGTGAAAAAACATATGACTGGCTATTCCAGCATTTAAAAATAATTGTCAATTCTAAATTTATACGAAAATAAAAAGAAATACAACCCCAGATTAAAAATAATAATTAGGCAGGACAAAGGGTTTTTCCACAGGCATCATTTCATTGTTTGTGAACAAGTTTCTGATAGGAAAGAGTCGGAAAAGCTACAAAAATGCCATGCACGTCACAAGGTGTATTCAGATATCTCTAACTACATAATTGTTAAGTGGTAAAATAATTGCTAAATAAGAGACATTGCTTGCAGTAGGTGACAGTGACACATAGCTACTGAACATATCTCAAAAGTACTTGATTATGTCAAGATTTACTAAAACAGGACTGTACCTGATGTCAATCTCAGACCAAACTATAGACTCCATTCAAAACAATAGGACATGCGAAAGCTTGTTTAAATTTATGTTTTGTTCATCCTCCCATCATGAATGACAGTGACTCCAAAGAGAACAATGTTCTCCTGAAGAAATATCTTCTATCATGTCTGAAAAAGACACGACACAGTATTCTCCCAAAAAGCAAATCTATGTCAGCATTCACATGGTGTGCATGCATGTTGAAGAGCAAACTCCAGTCATGCAGCTTTGGCTCAACTTAGTCACTTTCAAATGGTCTTTCATCATGTCAAACACCAATACACAACTCAATTTACATGTTGTCTCTCCAAACTGAAGAATCCTGTCCTGAGGTGGCTCCATAGGGTTGACTCTATCATTTGATTATGAAAACTTTACATTGTTTTCCAAACGTTTCACGTATATAACTATGCAATGCTTTACTGCAGTGTGATCAAAACTGGCTCAACTTTGGTCCCTTTTTCCATGTGTATCAATCAGCTTTGTCCAAATACATAAACACACATCTCTTAGAACTCATGTGCTGTCGGAGTTTTTACCTTACAAAACTGAAGTGTTAATAAGTGCAAATGGGGTCTTGAACTCATCTGTCTGCTATCAGAATATTTAAGTTTGTCACAATATCATACAGAGTAACTGCAAGTTGTTACATAATTAATAATTTGGTGCAAAAGACTTGATTTTAAAATGTGTTTAAAATGTGTTTCAGAAGAGTTAAAGATGTATGAAGTGCGTTTTCAAATAAATTCACTAGAATGGCTTGTAGATTTAACTGGTAGTTCATGGAACTCAGCCGATCATTAAGAAAACTGCAGTGCTGTACAGCACTTCCTAAAAGCACTAAATCTTCCCTGGCTAACTTAAATCTTTTTAGGCATCAAAATCTCATATGGAAACAGACAAAACAAACACAAATATTGCCTTGCATAGTTACAGTGTCTAAACAGACAAAACTATTTTAAAGTATTTTCTTCCAGAGATTGTGTTACAGCCTAAGACTAAATCCAATTCTTTGGAGTAAGCCAGGATAAATACCAACATAAAAGCGTAGAACAATCATAGAAGAAAATTGTCTTCCAAAAATACATAAATGTTGAATTTTCGTAAATAATTTAACTTATGTTTTCAAGGAAATGGGTGTTTAAAGTTAATATTGATTTAACAGCTCAACCAGGTATAAGATATCTAAAACTACCCAGTCATGTAACTAACATTAGAAAGAACCATCAATTTAATTTAGCAAAAGTTTTACAATGGTATATGAAAGAGGTCTGCTATACCACATTGTTGCTAGTTACCACATTATTACACATGAACGTCAATGATCAGTACTAAGTACATACAGTACATTCACCCATGTTGCATGAACACTTTACTAAGTGTTAAATTATGATGTAACAAAGCTTCAGAATGCTGTATTCAGAATAAAACATGAAAAACAAGTCCATGGAAATCATACAACAAACAAGCTATTTAAGATTCCTTAAATGAAATTAATAAAGCAATACAACCAGGAAAGATTACTTATTATTAGCCAAGAAAGTTACATACAATGTAAAAATGTAAAATGTAAAATAATATGAGATTGAATTTCTATTATGACAGTGTTATAAATGTTTTTTTTAGAAAATATCTTACAGAAATGTTTCCGTGCATTGTGCTATATAGTCATTTTATTACATATAAATGTGCAAAAATTTTATCTTGAAAACATTTAGAATATACTATCTTTGGTAATTGTCTTCAGCAATCAATTTATTTCATAAACATTAAAATATAAGACATTTAGCTCATGAAAGTAGGAAAATAGTATTAAGATACTTATTGTGGCATGCAATTACTGTTTACACCCAGCTGATTTCGTTTGTGTTCTTACACTGTTCATCAAAGACTGACCTTTCATCTTCCCCAAATGGCAGTGGGCTTAAAAACATCCCCAAACACCCAACAAGGTTTTTCTGTAATCCCACATTGGCCAGAAGCCTAAATCTAGAAATGAAAACTGGCCAAAATCCAGCGTCTCTCTTCATTCCCAGTAGATGTGGGCCAGTCTGGTGAAGTGGCCCTATATCTGTGGCACTGCAGACACAATGCTGGCACACTGTCAAAAATGACTTGATCAAGATGAATCTGTCAGTGTCCGGTGGCCAAAGCTCTAGAATCTCAGTTTTAAGAAGACAAAAATGTCAGAAATGATTATATGAAATGTTTTTAACATCCAACTACAAAACAATATTGACAATCAATGTCTCAAAACCTCAGCAGAGAAAGAAAATAGTGAATCTTTTGTTTCGCTATAATTTAAGAAAGTTTTTTTTTCTTGTGGAATCCAATTAAATGCATAATTAGCCGTAAACTCTTACAATAAATGGCTCTATAATCAAACCTACTTAAAGACGCAAAATGAATGCCCTGCAATTAAAAACAAACTACAGAATTTAGGTGGAACTTTTAAGTAGCCCAAGACCATTTGCAGATAGACTGTCTTGGCAGTGTACCAATCTATTGTGAAGACAGATTGTGGTATGGGGCAGTGAGGAGAATATCCATAGCTTGCTCAGTGTGCGATTAGCAAAGATGAACCACTTAAAAACACAGGCACCAGGGCTCCTCTGAAACATACACTGCCACTCTCTATCTTCTACGGGTGCATGCACCGGGCCTCTGAGAAAATACTATCTCTGGCTGCCGGCCAGCAGCTCGTGAACCAAGCCTCTGTAGCCACAGCAGGTCGAGCCCGTTGAAGGCGCAGGTTTAGAATACCACAAGCGTGACATGGGCCGACTCGCTCACTTCAAACAAGCCCCCGGACCGAGAGCAGAGCTGACGCCTGTATGCTAGCCATGACAACATGCCTACCTGCGACCACTGGGTCGAGAAACTGGAGGCTGCTGACGCCCGTGAGGCTGCCCACTGCTCCAGTTCCTCATGTAAGAGGAAACGGTAGAAATAAAGACCTTCGAGAGAGAAAATATTCTGCTACCCTCTGTCGTGCCAAGGCTTTCAAGAAGGAAGGAGACTTCAAGAGAAAGTTGTGTTCCTACCCTATTCACATACATGACAAAGGTACTCCAGTGTAGAATTTAATTCACTCAATTAAAAGGGTTTTTTGAACATTCCCATTGCTTTATATGGTAAATTAAGAATGAGCTGGAAGAAGAAAGTGGAATGACATGTGTGTTAAATGAAAGAGCAAAAATGCCAGTCTTACCTCATGAGTTTCAATGTTACATTTAGAACCTTGCTATGTTACATAATGGATTTTGTAAAGCAAATGGATTTTCTATGGTCAAATATTTTTCCATTACTACTATACTACCTTCAACAATAGCATCAGTTTGCTTTAGACAGTAAAGTTTATTTAAATGTATTCCTTACAACCTTACAAAGTATATCAAATCCTTTCAGGTTTTCTTATGTGAAGTTATTTAAGCAATAGTTAAAAGTCAAGGAACCTGGATGGCACTTTTACAGAAAATGTGGCAGAAGATGTTATCAGTTATAGTGTCTTAATGTGATCGGAAGAAAATATAACAACAAAACAGTAAATTTGCCTTTTTCCCTACTTACTACCATAACCATGATTTACTGAACTTGACATTTTTTATTGACCATTTTTCCGGACATATT